ATTCCATCTCTGCTCTTTGCAGATAATGTGGTCCTGCTGGCGTCATCGTGCCGTGATCGTCAACTCTCACTCGAGCAGTTTGCAGCCGAGTGTGAGGCGGCTGGGATGAGAATCAGCACCTCCAAATCTGAGGCCATGGTCCTCAGTTAGAAAAGGGTGGATTGCTCTTTTCAGGTCGAGGGTGAGGTTCTGCCTTGAGTGGAGGACTTGAAGTATCTCAGGGTTTTGTTCACGAGTTAGAACAACTGGCCGAGGTGGAGGAGTAGCTTCTATTTTTCAGTCAGGATTATTGATTAATGCCAAACCAGTTATTAATTATGATTCTTTTGAATCGCTGTCCCTCAGTCTTTATCATCCAAAATTGAAATCAGAAAAGCCACTTTTACTAGTTGTTATATCGTCCACCAGGAGCTTACTCTGTTTTTGTCTGAATTCTCAGAATTCTTAACTGACATTATTAAATACTGATAAAATCATCATAATGGGTGATTTCAATATTCATGTAGATTTTGAATGTGATAGCTTAAGCATAGCCTTTAATAATTTAATAGACTCATTTGGTTTTACCCAAAACGTCCACACATCTACTCATTCTTATCATCACACTCTTGATTTAGTTCTGACCTATGGTGTAGAGATTAAGGACTTGGTAATAGTTCCTCAAAATCCTATTCTGTCCGACCATTTTTTAATTAGCTTTGAGTTTACATTAAATGACTACACAGTCACTGAGAGTAAAGTTCATCTCAGCAGGTGCTTATCAGAAAATGCTGTAACCAAATTTAAAGGATCTCTTCCATCAATGTTTTCCTCTGTCTTGCAGAGTAATGCATCAGAGAACAGACTTGGATCATCTAGTTGATCATCTTACAACTTCAATACAAACTTCACTTGATAAAATTGATCCACTGAAAAAGAAAGTAATCAATCAGAGGAAACTGGCTCCTTGGTTCAATTCTGAGTTACGTACTTTAAAGCAGCATCTAGAAACCAGGAGAGAAAATGGCGCTCTACTAATGTTGAAGAATTTTATTTAACTTGGAGAGATAGTCTGCTAACATATAAAAAAGCTCTCCGTAAAGCTAGAACTTTATATTACTCATCTTTAATAGAGGAGAATAAAAATAACCCTAGGTTTCTGTTTAGTACTATTGCTAGACTAATTAAAAGTCCCATTTCTGTTGAACCATGTATCCCTACAACTATAAGTAGTGATGACTTCATGAGATTCTTTATAAATAAAATTATTTCAATTAGAGAGAAAATTCAAACCATCCTTCCTTCTACTATCTCTAGTCCCCTGTCAAATGAGGCAACTTTAAAAATTTCACTAGAGCCTGATTTATGTTTGGACAGTTTTTGTCCTGTTGAGCTCTGAATTGTTAAAAATAATAACCTCATCCAAACCATCCACATGCCTGCTAGATCCCATCCCAACCAGACTGTTTAAAGAGGTATTCCCCCTAATTAATGTCCACATTTTGGATCTACTTAATTTGTCTTTAATGGATGGTTATGTACCACAGCTCTTTAAGGTTGCTGTAATTAAACCTTTACTTAAGAAGTCTGATCTTGATTCAGAAATTCTGGCCAACTATAGACCTATATCTAATCTAACTTTCATCTCAAAAATTCTAGAGAAAATAGTTGCAGGTCAGTTGTGTGAACATCTACAAAGAAATAATCTGTTTGAAGAGTTTCAGTCAGGGTTTAGAGCTCATCATAGCACAGAAACAGCACTAGTAAAAGTAACTAATGATATTCTCATGGCCTCAGACAATGGACTTGTGTCTATACTGGTCCTGTTAGACCTCAGTGCTGCATTTGATACACTTGATCACAATATTTTACTACAGAGGCTTGAATATGATATTGGGATTACAGGAACAGCTCTAAAATTGTTTAAATCATATCTATCTGATAGATTCCAGTTTGTAAATGTAAATAATAAATCTTCTTCATACACAAAAGTTAGTCATGGAATTCCTCAGGGCTCATTGCTTGGGCCAATACTCTTTACTTTATATATGCTTCCATTAGGTAAAGTTATTAAACAGCATGGGATAAATGTTCATTGTTATGCTGATGACACACAATTATATTTGTCCATTAAACCCAATGAATCCAATCAGTTACATAGTGGTAAGTTATAATCATGTCTTAAAGACATAAAAACCTGGATGACCCTTAATTTTCTCCTGTTGAACAGACAAGACTGAAGTTTTGGATTTTGGACCTGAGCACCTTAGGAATGAATGTTTCAGTCTTTCTCCCTCCTTAGATGCATTAATCTGTCCTCCAGCTCTAATGTTAAAAATCTTGGGGTTATTTTTGATCAGGACATGTCTTTTATCCCCCACATTAAAAACGTTAATAGAACTGCCTTCTTCCACCAGCCGGTCAAAGCAGATGGCCTCTTGTCCTGATCCTGGTTCTGCTGGAGGTTTCTTCCTGTTAAAGGGAGTTTTTCTTTCCACTGTCTCCACTGTGCTTGCTCAGGATGGGAGACTGCAACGAAGCCAAGATTCAACTTGTCTGCTGGATTCCTTAGATAGAGAACTTTACTAACTGGCTTTTATGTGAATGTTTGTGTTGTTTATGTGTAATGTTTATGTGAATGTTTCTGTGCCCTGAGACAACTTTGTTGTGATTTAGCGCTATAGAAATAAACTGAATTGAATTTAATTGAAATGAGTGAGGGAAGAATGGAGCATGAGATTGACAGGACAGATTGGTGCAGCACCTGCAGTATTACAGACTCTGTACCAGTCCTTTGTGGTGAAGAGAGAGCTGAGCTGAAAGGCAAAGCTCTCTGTTTACTGGTCGGCCTACATTCCTACCTTCACCTATGGTCATGAGCTCTGGGTAGTGACTGAAAGATTGAGATTGCAGATACAGGCAGTTAAAATGAGTTTTCTCTGCAGGGTAGCAGGACTCTTCCTTGGAAACAAGGTGAGAAGTTCAGTTATCCGGGAGAGACTCAGAGTAGAACCTCTGCTCCTCCACATCAAGAGGAGACAGTTGAGGTGGTTCGGGCATCTGGTAAGAATGCCCCCTGGGCTCCTCCCTAGGGAGGTGCTTCAGACATGTCCGACTGGGAGGAGAGCCCGGGGAAGACCCAGGACACGCTGGAGAGACTATGTCTCTCGGTTGGCCTGGGAACATCTTGGAATCCTCCCAGAAGAGCTGGAAGAGGAGGCTGTGGAAAGAGATGTCTGGACCTCCCTCCTCAAGCTGCTGCCCCTGTGACTCGCCTTCGGAACAAGCGGAATATAATGGATAGATGGCATGCAATGTAATTATGACAAAAAATGGAGGATGTACTTGCAGTTACCTTCGTACAGATGAACATGTGGTAACTACTTCCTGTTTATAGCTTGTAATCAGCTGCTCATGGGGTCAGCCACCGGCTTTATACATATTTTCTAAACTCCGTTAAGTTTTTGAAATGGAATAAAGTGTATTCCACCCTCTAAACACTGAGGGTAACACGTGTCTGTATTACATTTTTCCCACTGACAACGTTTAAACATTTTTTTCTAATGATTTTACATAAAATCCCTCTGACCATGGGCTGCATCTCTGCAGGTAAGGGGCGTTTACCTTTGGGACAAATTGAGGTCGCCTATTGGCCAGTTGCTGACACACTAATTGGATTGATTAACAGGTGGCCTGGAGGATCCGACTCATATGGAACCCCACCCCCCAAAAAAAAAAAAAAAAACGAGAGCTGCCGCTGGCCCTGGGTGGAGGCGGGGCAGCCATGGAGTTGTTGCAATGGTTGCAATGCTCTGTGTTTTATGTTGTTAATAAAAAGTTATAAAAGAATAAAAACAGGAAGCGCCAGCCCTGCAGACCACGTGTCAGACCGGCCCACCAGGAAATGTCCCGGTCCTCCTGATTAGCCACTCTTGGCCTGACTGCTGGACATGGACACCAGTGATCCGAAAAGGAATAAGCGGGTAAAGATAATGGATGGATGTTTATTCAAAGTCCTCACTGAATCTGCAGCAGATAAGATAATGACTGATGATCAATACTTGGTAAATGGTAAATGGACTGTACTTATACAGCGCCTTTCTATCTTATTTCAAGATACTCAAAGCTCTTTACTACAATCTATGTCCTCATTTACCCATTCATACAGCTCTATACTAGATCTCTACAAAGCTAATTGAGCAAATCATTCTAAAGAGACTAATCAGAGCTTTATCACATTCATGCACTGATGGGACACATCAGAGTAATGAGGGTTCAGTGTCTTGCCCAGGGACACTGGATTCGAACCCCCAACTCTCGCATTGGAGGACGACTGCTCTAACCACTCAGCCACAGAAGACCCGTACTTCACATGGTTAAAAAAACATCTGAACTATCCCTTTAAAGACTTTGATATATTGTTTTATATTTCAATTAAAAATAAAATGTTTAAAAATAAACAAAGTTATAATGAATTCAGCTGAAATAGTCCAGATTTCACAAAAAAATTTAAAAGTTTAAAATAATTCTGTGATTTTTGTTCAAATTCTTCACTTAAATATAAAATTATATAAATTATACATTTAAATGTTTTTAGAAAAATGAGTGTTGGAGAACAGGTTGAACAAAATGATAATTTCAGCTCTTTTATTTATTTATTTTTAATTAAACAGGAACTTTATTGACAAAATCAACATTTCTTTAAAAGTTCTGGATTTTTCTTCTGTCCTAAATGTGTAAGTCCATGAATTCTTTTTAAAACAGATAAAAATACATAATCTTTTTTTAATGCTGCTTCTGGGGGATTTTCATTAGACTGGCTTTAAATGATAAATAACACCAAGTTCTAAAATATGTTTCCTCAAATCTGAAAATGATTTATTTATTTCAGCTTGTTAATCTTTACTTTTCTTAAAGGAGCCAAGAATCTCATTTAAAATCAGTGTGATTTGATCAAACCTACTTGAATTCAGTTTCCTACGGTTTCTGTTTGATTCTAGGAGAGGAAGGTAAAAACTGACCTGTAGTTCTTGAGTCGGTCTGAGCTTCTGCAGGTTTGAAACGGACCTCCTGCACCTCCTGGTCCTCCGTCTCCTTCAGGCTCAGACTGTGTGTGAAAACATCAAGCTGGTCTCATCTCGTCCCTCTGGACATGTTTCAGTTTGAAAATGTCCCTGAGAGGACACCGGCTCCACTTTTAGCTGAAACAAGCACTGGAGAGTCGCAGGTAATTAGTGCAGAAATCAGGTCAGAAGACTTCCTGTTAATAAACGAGATGAAAAACTGATTGTGTTCCGATTTCATCCCACAAATTAAAATACGCCTCAGTTAATCTGAACAAGTTTGACCCAAAAACAACAGAAAATGTTGAAACGAGGACGCTTTCAGGAGTATTTTTATTTGTTAAAACAAAAAAAGGACAAAAACAGAAGTAATATGAGTTTGTTCTCTTAAAGTCAAAGACAAAATAAATGGATACAAACCAGAATAAATCCATAGATTTCTGATATTTTACTGACTATTACTGCAATTAAAACATGTGTGTTCAGACTAGATTCAGTTTCACTGGAAAACTTTTTTTACCTTATGAATAAAAAAGAAGAAAAGTTCAGGTTGTCAAAACCATTAATAATTATTAGTATTTTTATTAAAGAAAGAAAATTTAAAATCTAAAATTCCAGGCCTGATTTTAATAAAAATTTGCTTTTATTTAAGGAAATATAGTAAAAAATAAAATATAAACTGGCTTTGTTTTTGTTTTTACTGTTTATAAGACATTACGCTTCAATAATAAGTTTTATTTTATTTTATTGATATTTTAATAACTACCGGTATATTTACTTATTTAAGCAAATTAGCTTTAGTTAACTTATTTCTGTACCTTTTTGCATTATTTTTTAAACCTTTATAAGAATTTTAACAGTTAATTTTAGATTTCATCATTTTTTTGCAACCTACATTATATGTATAATAAAAATGTACAAATGTTGTTTTTTATAGTTTAATATAAATTGTCTTCAAGATGTTTTAAGACAATAAAATGTGACTTTACCTTCATTTAAAAACTTTCATTCAACCTCTATTTATACATGTTAGTCTGAGTGAGTCATCGTCACGCTCAGCGGCCCCCGCTGCCCCCCATCTGTTCAAGCCTCTGCTCCTCATACCACATCTATGAGGTGCCGTGTAGGACATAATCTATCACCTTATACAACAGCCCCTGTTTTTAGATCATTCACGTTAGTTCCTGCTTTAGTTCTTCTTCTTCTTCTTTATGGGATTTTATGGCGGTTGGCAAAAAATAGTTCTAGAACTGTGTCGCTCCCGGTGGCTGCATGTTGGAGCAGCTCTGTTACTTTCATTCTGAGATTTTGCTTTTGGAAACTTTAATTCCTCTTTTCTGGATGTGGATCACGTTTTTTGGGACGTCTGTTTCCTCTGGTATCAGATGTTGTGCAGCTGGAAGGATTTTTACTGAAACTTTTTTTTTAGTTTTGGACATTTGTTATGATGCGTAACCATGGCAACAAGGCAGTTTTCTACAACCAACAACAGCCGATTAACATCTCAAAAGCTCAAATAATATCTCAACTACAGCCCCAAATCTCAAATGAGTTGAGAAGGATGTTCTGTGGACGCATTCTCATCTACCTGCCAGCTGTGCTCGAGTGCCTGACCACTGAGATCCTGGATCTGGCGGGAGACACGGCTCGTGGACAGGATCATCCCTCAGCACCTACAGGGTGCAGTGATGCCCCAAATCCCACGTGAGTTGAAAAGGAGGTGCCGTGGACAAATTCCCGTCAACCTGGCGGCGGTGCTCGAGACCTCACCACCGAGATCCTGGAGCTGGTGAGAAACTCGGCTCGTGTGGAGCTCTGCAGACTGCTAGGAGGAGTGACCATCACTCAGGGAGGAATTCTGTCCGGCGTTCGGGCAGTCCTGCTGCCCAGGAGGACCGAGAGGCCCGCCGGATCTGACAGCAAGATGGATCTAAGTGGACGGATCGGTATCTGTGGCCAGATTCTTCGGCTTCACTGCAGGAGATCCTTCCTGCCCACAGCTATCAGCATCTATAACAACTCTTGAATGAAACCAGGATGATGAGCTACGACAACACTTCATTTCCCTCTGGGATTAATAAAGTATTTTTGAATTGAATTGAATTGAAACAACGGAAGGTGTGCATTACCGCCACCTACTGGTATGGAGTGTGGATCAAAATGGCTATGTCTGTATGTTTATATTCTCTTATCTAATTTTGTGTTTTTGAAAAAATGTATAAGGATTTGAATACTTTTATTCTTATTTCCTTTTGCAATATATTTATTATACCAAATGTTTCTTTGATTTTTCCTAATTGTTCTTTCATACGCCTTCTGTGATGTTCATATTTCTGACAGACCAAAATGACATGTTCTCTTGTTTCCTCCTGTCCACAGAGCTCACATTGTCCTGTATCATGTTTCTGAATCTTGTGTAGTGAGCTGTTAAGTCCTGTATGTCCAAATCTTACTCTGGTTATTAGTCTTCTTCTCTTCTGTTCCTCCTCCTGTTCTCATTTCTCCCACTTGTCTCTGAATTCTGTAGTACCATCTTCCTTTGTGCTCTTCTCCCACTGTTTTTGCCATTTTTCCTTTAGTTTTTGTTTCACTGTGGTTCTTACTTCTGATTTATTGATGGATACTGTAAAATTGATTTGATCTTTTGTTGCTGATTTGCTGCCCTGTCTGCTGCTTCATTCCCTCTGACCCCTAGATGTGCTGGTGTCCATAAAAATATCACTGTCAGTCCCATCATTTGTATTCTGAATAATGTTTGTTGTAGTTCTAGTAAAATGTCCGGTCGGCTATCTGAATGACTATTTTTCAAACTGATGAGTGTTGAGCTCGAGTCTGAACAGATGATTGTTTTTAACGGTCTTGTGTCTTCTACCCACTGCACTGCCAATAATACTGCCAACATCTCCCCTGTGTACACGGATACTTCATTTGTGATTCTTTTCCTTACTTCTATGTTGAATTCTGGTATTTTAAATATGACACTCCTACTTTCTCTGATGTTCTTGATGCATCTGTATAAATCTGTATATAGTTATAGTAGTTATTGATATAGTCCTGTACTGTATATGAATTAAAAATAAATGTTCTGTCTTTTTTCTTGTCCATGAGTGTCAAGTCAACTGTTGCATTTGGAAGAAGCCAGGGTGGTATTGTTGGTACTGGTACTACTGGGCTGATGTCTAAGTTGTGTATTTGCATTTCTTTTGTTTTCTGGTCTATTGTCCATCCAAAGCTTCTTGTCTCTTTCTTCTCTTTCTCCCAGCTTGGTTTTAAAATATCTAGTGTTGGGTGTTCCGGGTTATTTACTTTAAGATTGATCCAGTAGTTTATTGCTAATCGTTCTCGTCTTATTGCTAACGACATTTCTCCCATTTCTCCTCCAAGTGCTGCTGCTGGGGTGGTTTTGAATGCTCCTCTAGTCTTAATGCTTGGTATTGTATTTTGTCCAGTTTCTCCAAATGTGTTTTTGCTGCTGATCCATAAATTACACAACCATAATCCATATTTGATCTGATAAGTCCTGTATAAATTTGTTTTAATGCCGTTCTATCTGCACCCCATTCATTCCCAGCTAAGCATCTCATAATGTTTAAGACTTTTTTACATTTATCAATAATCTTTTGTATATGTACATTCCATAAGATTTTCTCATCAAACCATATACCCAGATATTTTATGCATTTAACTTGTTCTAGTTCTTGATTATATAATTTCAATTTAATCTCTTTGGTGACTCTTTTCTGTGTAAATACCATTACTTTAGTTTTGTCCACTGAGAATTTGAATCCCCACTCATTTGCCCATTTCTCAGTTTTTAATATCGCCTCTTGTATTTTCTTCACAGTGAATTTTATATTTTTCCCTCTTTTCCAAATGGTTCCATCATCTGCAAATAATGAAGATCCCATCCCATTCTCAATCTCTGTAAAAACATCATTTATCATTTTAGAAAATAGTAATGGACTTATAATACTTCCCTGTGGTGTTCCGTTTTCCACAAAGTATTTCTTTGAATATTCTTGTTGTATTTTTACTTGTATCGATCTTTTTGTTAAAAAGTTTTGTATCCATCTGAACATTCTTCCGTTAATTCCTAGTTTGTACATTTTAATTAATAATCCTTCAACCCATAACATATCGTATGCCTTTTCTATGTCGAAGAATACAGCCACCACACTTTCTTTATTTATCTGTGCTCTCCTGATCTCGTGCTCTAACTGTAATGTTGCATCATTGGTGTTTCTCCCTTTTCTAAAACCACTTTGATATTTAGATATGTATCCCTTACTCTTCATATAATATGTTAGTCTATCATTGATCATTTTTCCATTATTTTACATATATTTGATGTTAGTGCGATTGGTCTGTAATTTTCTGGCTTTGTATGATCCTTTCCTGGTTTAGCTGTTGGTACGATGACTGCTTCTTTCCAGCTTTGTGGTAGCTCCCCCTCTTCCCACACTTTGTTGTATAGTTCTAAAATTAGTTCTTTGGATTTTTCACTAAGGTGGTCTATCATGGTGAACCATATCTGATCTTTTCCAGGTGCTGTTTGTTTGGTTTTCCTGAGTACTCGATTTAGTTCTGCTTTTTGAAAAGGTTTGTTCAATAAATTATCAGTTTCTTCCATATTCTTAATTAAATCTTTGTATTTTAACTTTGTAGTTTCCCTCCCTCTCTTTCCTTCATTACTAATATTATTGGAACTATGAATTTTTCTAAATGTTGTTGCTATTATTTCAGCTTTTTCTTTATCGTTTACTACTGCTGTGCCATCTACATTTAATCCTGGATATCCATATTCTTTTTTGATGCCATTCATTCTTTTGATCATTTTCCAGATTTTTTCAATTTTTGTTTCTTTTCCAATAGTATTACAAAAGTTTCTCCAATATTCCCTCTTTGCATTCTTGATGATTTTTCTTACCATTCTTGTTTTCTTTTATATTCGATGAAGTTCTGATAACTAGGATTTATTTTTAATGCTTTAAATGCTTTATTTCTTGTCTTTAAGGCTTTGTTACATTCATTTGTCCACCAAGGTACTTTCTTCTTTTCGCTCGTTCTTCCACCTTTTTTATTGACTGTTCTGTAGCTTCCTGTATAATCTTGCATATACAAACATTAACATTATTACTGTCTGTTGACAGATCAATTTTCTGTAGCTCTCTATCAGTAATATATTTGAATTTGTTCCAGTCTGCTTTATTAAATGGTCCTGCTTTAGTTTAGAGTTCCCCTCTCATTCATCCAGCTCCTGTCACCCTGAGCCACGCCCCCTCCACCATCTACCCAATCTACCTTCATGAGCAACACCTGTTCAGTTCACTCTTTAAGCTCCCTGTTTCTCCTCAGTCCGTGCCAGATAATTATAGATTATTTCCTTAGATATCCAGCGGTCCCTCTTCTTGTCACAGTTTTCGACCATAGCTTTGCCCACGACCTCTCGTTCTCACCTTTGCCCCCGGACTGGATCCCTCACCTGTATCTGACCATACTGACGACTGCTTCTCCTCCTTGACCACCAGTTTTGGATTCTCCTTTTGGTTCTTCTGCCTGGCTGCATTCCTCTCTGGTTTTGACCCTTGCCTGCCCCTGGATAAAGTTCTGCTGCCTAAACTCCTCAGCTTCACAGCTCGCCCATCCAGCCTCACTACCTGTCTGTGCACACTTGCGCATGTTACCAACTCCTGAGATTCGGACCGGTACCGGGACCCACCTGGCCCACATCTCAGACTGGTTCCAGAGACAGAAGGTTAGTGGCTTTATTCTTGTTTACTCTGTTCTGTTTACAGCCACTAATCTGTCTGTCTCCCCCAGAGCGGTCCGGTACCAGAACCAGAACCTCCTGCCAGACGCCGCCGGTTTTTAATAATAAACTTTTTAAAACCTTTTTCTGAGTCTGTGCTTGTCTGATCCACCCCAATTTGTGACAGTCATGAAAAGTCATTTTCAAGAGAGACCAGTTTTAAACAAGACCAAACAAAAACGCACATGAGGTACAGACAGTCATTAAAAGCATATTCAATTTAATTCAATTCAAAAATACAGTATGTCCACATGAGTCTCCACCTGGATTTAACTCACCAAACAGGTCCGAGCCTCCTGTTGGAGAATTACTGCATGGGTGATCATGTTTCAGCTGCAACAAGTTCTTTAACTCCAACTGGTGCAATGAGTTGCTTCTCATTTCTTCAACAACATGATGAAAGACTCATGACGTGGTCGTGGAAAAGATGTCGGCCTGTTTGAGAAGGGTCAAATCATTGGCATCAAGCAGAGGAAACATCTCAGGAGATTGTAGAAACTAAAACTGGGTTAAGAACTGTCCAACACATTATTAAAAACTGGGAGGACAGTGGGGACCCATCATCTTCCAGGAAGAAATGTGGCCGGAAAAAACTCCTGAATGATCGTGATCGGTGATCATTTAAACGTTTGGTGAAATTAAATGGAAGAAAAACACCAGCAGCACTCAGGGCTGTGGTTCATAATGAAAATAAGAACGTTTCCACACACACAATGTGAAGAACTCAAGGGACTGGGACTGAACAGCTGGGTAGACTTAAGAAAACCACTAACCAGTGAGGCTAACTGGAAAAAATGCTTCAGTTTTGTTAGGGAGCATAAAGATTGGACTGTGGAGCAATGGAAGCAGGTCATGAGGTCTGAGTCCAGACTGACCCTGTTCCAGAGTGATGGTGCATCAGGGTCAGAAGAGAGGCAGGTGAAGTGATGCACCATCATGACCAGTGTCTCGTCAATGGAAGATCTTGGAGAAACATTAATGCAACACTGGAAATAGATCTTGACATTGAAGAAGCTTATTGAAACAATGACACAGAGAATGCACGATGTGATCAAAGATAAAGGAGGTCCAACTAAATATTAGTGAGACTTTTTTTGGTGGCAACTTTTTTTGGGGGCCAGGCAGTGAACTAAAAACAGGAACGTCTGCATTGATTTTTGCATTGAACTTAACAATTGTTTAAATCCACTTAGAGAGGTCAAAGGTCGAGAGCTTCAGATCTTTTTACAAGATATTCCAGGAAACAGGAGCGGAGTAGGAGAAGGTCCTTTTGTCTAGTTCAGTCCTCACTGAGGGAACACTGCAGGTAATTATGTCCTGAGAGCGCACGCTGTAGCTGCACTCACACAGAGACATGTAGGAGGAGATGTATGAAGGCAGCAGACCAGGAAGTGATTTAAAGATGAAAATGTACCAGTGGGAGAGTCTGTGTGAAGTTAATGGTGACCAGTTAACCAGTGGATACTGGGTGCAGTGGTGGGTACGATAATCACAGCCAGTTATGAATCTTAGTGCACCATGATAGACAGCATCCAACATCTGCAGCATCCAACATCTGCAGCATCCAACATCTGCAGGGTTCTTGTAGGAGCGTTCATGTATGTCACCGTAATCAATGAAGGGAAGGAAGGTCACAGATACAAGGTGTTTCCTAACATTCAGGGTTAGACAGGATCTGTTTCTGAGAAAGAAAACCAATTTTAATTCCTATTTCTTTGTCAAGTGTTTGACATGAGGCTTAAAAGAGAGATGTGCATCGACCAAGATTCCCTAGTACCTGTAAGAATCGACAAACTCAACAGAACACCATTCGTAGATAAGATAGAAGAAAGGACTGCTGGTACCGACTTCCTGTATGAAAACTACATCCCTTTGGTTTTATCAGCATTTAGCACCAATTTGAGACAGAACAAATCTGACTGAATGATTTCAAATGCAGACTGTAACAGCTGGAAAACCTTGGCAACTGATTTAGCTTGACAATAAACATCTGTGTTGTTGGCATAAGGATGCATCAGGAATTATCTGACTTACATTACTTATGTAGATTGTAAAGTGGGTGGGTCCTAAGACTGAACCTTGTGGTATATCATTGTTGACAGTTAAATAACTGAAAGAAGTACCCCAAAAATCATGCTCAATAATCCAGGTACAAATCCAGCAAGGTTCAGTCTGGTCATCTGGACGGAAGGACGAAACGTCTCAGCACAAAAAAATAATAAATAAATAAATCAACAATGTCTAAGAGTTATGGCATAAGATGTCATGGAGTATAAAACGCTTTAGACAGGTCTAAATAAAGTGCAACACAGTAGTCCTTAGCATCAATGCTTCAACATCATTAACATAATTTGTTCGTTTAGCGTATATCTTAAAGCCTTATACTGTTTCTTTTTATACTTTATATTTTTGCTATTGTTGGATGTAACTGGGACCCTGTGTACATAGTTTCTTTCCACCTCGTGTACCACATGTGATGTGTATGACAATAAAGAACCTTGAACTTGAAAACCTACAACAAAGCAGCGCTGTGTTGTTTCCTGAAACCAGATTGATGGGAACATAAAAGAATCCAAATACTTTTTGATTTGAGTATCTATTTCTCTAAAACTTTAGCTGGAGTACAGAGTTTCGAGACTGGCTGATAGTTGTTCTGTATAGTGGGGTGTCCTCCCTTCTGTAAAGCTGGAACATAGACATATTATGTTGTAAAATATATAAGATATCATATTTTAAGATCAGTTTGAAGATCATTTTAACACGCTTTTATATAAATATTTTGAATTAGATTATTGTTCAGTCAGGATATTGTTTCAAAAACAGTTACCAGTACAAAAAAGTGGAAATGTTAATTTATCTCTCTTTATTTTGAAGGAGCGCCGCGGCAGCAGACAAAACATCCGGTTCGTCTACGTCACTTTTACTTTACGCCCATGTAGCCAATCAGGAGGAGGCACGCTACGTAATTTACGTACTGTTTGACTACGTGAGGTGCGTGCTCTCACTTCTCTTGTGTTTGTTTGTTCTTTTAGTTTATTTGATGTTAAATGGTGTGGAATTATTGTAAAAATTAGGATTGGTTTAATCAAACCTGTATTTTTGTTAATTTACTTTAAATATGTGATGAACAGGCTTAGGCTAAAATTAGCACCGAGCTGCTTTAGCTTGTTAGCTGCTGTTGCTGCGCAGGTAAAGAAGTTAACTGCTCGTGTTTTCGTACAGAACCTCTCAGCCGGGTCAGAACCGGCGGCCTCGGCGGGCAGACAGCTGGTTGTGTGTCCGACCTGAGCTCCACGCAGTCCCGGAGGATGTCTCCGGATTAACCCGGGAGCAGCAGAGCGACCCGGACCGTCTCAATCCCATAATCTGCCTCTCGGTTCCGTTCCGGAGGATCGTCATGGCTCGGCGCTTTGTTGCGAACCTGCTGCGGTTTGGGAGTCGAACCGGACACCCGTCCCTCCGGCCCGTCCACAGCTCCTCGGAGCCGGCGGCTGGGTTCAAACCGGGGAAAGTGGCCGTGGTCACGAAGACGACCCGGTACGAGTTCGAGCAGCAGCGGTACCGGCACGCAGGACTGTCCGAGCAGGACCTGAAGCAGCTGGTGAGTCGTGCTCAGCTGAAGGCAGAACCATGACGTGGTGTTTGGGCCGGACCGTGTGAATAATGAGCCTTGTGTTGTCAGCTGGCCATGAAGGGCTCGAGCTACTGCGGCCTCCTGGAGAGACACCACATCCACACCAGCAACGTGGAGCGCGTGGTCACCAGTCTGCAGTGAGTCCTGCTTCTGGACCCGGCCCACCCGGCCCACGTCGTTCGGCACCTGCTCAGTTCTGCACACGGTCCTCCTTTAGCTGCTGATGCTTCCAAACCTTCGGCTCATGTAGTAGCTGACACGCGTCCTCTGTGGCTCGGTGGTTAGAGCCGCTGTCTCGTAGTCCTGAGGTCGCAGGTTTGAGCCCAGGTCAAGTCAGGAAGGGCGTTCAGAACCAGATCTTTCCTGTGAGTTCTGTCGTCCGGTGCAGGAACAAGGAGAAATGAGAAACTTTTGTTTGTGACTTCACGTCCAACATCTCGGAGAGTAGAAACCCTTGGAGATGTTGGACCTCAGGAACTCTGATCTCTAGAATCTGCTTCAGCTCCCGACCTGTGGTTTTTTAGCTTCAACTGCCCCTTTGGTCATTTTGGCTTCAGTTTAGCTAATCTCAGATTATTTTAACTCCTCAGCTTTCCTTCTGTGAGTTTTAACATTTTGGTTTGCTATTTTAGCTACTTCGGCTACTTTAGCTTTTAACCACTGTGCTGCTCATTTTACTTTTTAGCTAGTCTTTTGCTAGTTTTAGCCGTAAGAATTGACTGTTGTTCAGAGTCTCCCTGTGTTTTATCAGCCGAGGTTCTGGTTCTGACATGAGGTTCTGGTTCTGACTGGTGTTCTGTGTCTGCAGGAATGAAGGCATCGAGGTGCGGGTGGTAAAGAGGGGGGAGTATAACGAGGAGGTGGTGCGATGGGCTGACGCCATTATCTCAGCCGGAGGTCTGAACTTTATATTTTAGCTGTTTTTATTCCTTCAGCTCGTATGTTTGCATCAAAGAGTAGAGAGGTTCTGGAGTCCACATGAAGGTTCTGGTTCTGTTCAGAATTTCAGATGAAAGACGAAAAGTTTCTCCCAAGAGAAATCTGTCAGATGAACTGCTTGAACTCTTTTAAACTTCAGAACCTTTGTCTCGTGGAGACAACTCCTGGAGGCGGAGTTTATCTGTCCTCTGCAGGGTCACCTCCTGAAGACACTGGTCTGGGTCTGGTTCTGGGTCTGGGTCTGGGTCTGGGTCTGACTGCCTCTCTTGTTGTCAGGTGATGGAACCATGCTGCTTGTTGCCAGTAAAGTTCTTAACGAAGACAAACCTGTGTTTGGAGTCAACACCGACCCAGAGAGGTGAACCCTCAGATTATTTACAGATTATTGATCAATAATCCAGGTGATAATAATTATAATCCAATTGAGTTTATCCCGGTTGTTCTTTCTGCTGAAGGTCTGAAGGTCATCTCTGCCTCCCTGTCCGGTACACCCGGGCCTTCTCGGAGGCTCTGGACCGCCTCTGCCGCGGTGAGTTCAGGTGTGTATTGACCTGTCAACTCACTTCCTGTTTGCTCAGTCTGGACCCGTTAATCCATCATCTCTGAGATTAGGACCTGTGTAAATCTGTGCTGTCTGGATCAAAGGTCACTCGGTGTCTCTGAGGCATCTCCTGAGCTCAGTTCTGGTTCCATTTGAAGATGGACCTGCCCGATGGAGGAGATTAACTCTGAACCTGAAGAACGGGCCGCTTTAATCCACACAGTTCTGTTAATCCCTTCATCTTGGATCAAGCCTCTGAGCCCACCAGAATCAGTTCTTGAAATGAATCCAGGGGGTCGGATGAAGCCTGATGATGGTCTCCAGAGGAGGAGGGACAGCGGTCCAGAACCTGCTGCCTTGTTGAACCACTTCAGCAGAACTTGGGCTCCGCCTACAAACAGCTCTGATAAACGTTTACTTCTCTTGTTTACTGTAAATCTATCGGTCCAGGTACTGGTTCTGAGGTGGGGAGAACAAAGGTCCAAGTAGTCCTGTCTCAGCGTGTCACTGTCCCCATGTTCAGGTGGTTGTGGCGTCAAAGGAACCGTCTGCACCTGGAGGGGACTGGCATAAACCCGGCCCCAGTGGACCTGCATGAGCTGCAGCTGAGCCTGGAGCAGCACAGCCGGGCTCACCGGACCAGCACTGCTGGCAGCCAGCACAGTACGAGCCTGTCCCCTCCATATGTCCTCTGTCTGAGGAGTTAGATCGGTTTGAGCCCGTCTCTGGACCCTGAAACGGTTCCTCCTGACCCTGTTTGCTCTGCAGGACCAGGCTCGTTGCATCAAAGTGTGTCGGAGCCGACCCTCCTCCCGGTCAGGAGCCTGAATGAGATCTTCATCGGAGAGTCTCTGTCCTCCAGGTACCTGGGCCCGTCTGTGTTCTAACGTACGTGTTCCATTCATTAACCCCTGGTGTCCTCGTCCTGTCCAGAACTCACCAGAACTCTCTGTCCACCACAGGGGGACGTTAAAACCCTTCCCACCCCATGCTAACCTCTTGCTCCATAGGGCTTCGTACTACGAGATCTCTGTGGACGACGGGCCCTGGGAGAAACAGAAGAGCTCCGGACTCAGCGTCTGCACCGGGACCGGGTCCAAAGCCTGGTAAATGTCTCGTTTCAGCTTTCACTGTCGAGTCCAGAGTATCTGGTGTTTGAGGTCACTTAGCTGTGGCGGCCAGCTTGATTTGGGTTGGCTCCCAAAGTTACAACAATTCAACACAACTTTATTTATAAAGCACTTTGACAACAACACTGAGAAAAGAAATGTGTGTGTGTGTGGGGGGGGGTGAGTGTGATGTAGTGAGGACGTGTCTGTCAGAGCTCCTACAGATTAAAAAAATCTTAATTGAAGGACACGTAAGTGCCCAGTTCATCTTATGAATTATTATTCGGCTCCATAACCAACAACAATGTGTGAACGTGACAATTACAGGACACATGGCAGCAAATCTGAGAAAATACAAATTCGAGGCCTCTCTTCTGCTAGGCCCAGCTGCGCCTTGAGCAAGTTCTGAGAGCGCTGGCGAACCGGCACGGGAGCCTGCAGCTGAAGTCAGCATGGATCCTGAATTGATGAAGTCCGACGTCCTGGCCTGAATCAAAACATCTCCACAACGATTGGAGAAGACACTGGACGATGAGTCTGAAGTGAACAGGGAGAACAGAAATGAGCAGTAACTACTGCTATCCAAGGTGAAAGTGGACAGGTGAAGGTTGTGGAGGAGGACATGACTACCTGGACGCACACAGTAGTGACGTGCAGCGCCTGGTAGCTGAAGTTGAAGCGTCAGAATTGTGACGACCTTGAAGGAAGGATGAGAAGAGGAAGCATCAGAATGGTCTGCGTCGCTGAGCGCACGGGATCCAGCACTCCGGACGCCTTCTCCGGACTCGTCAAAGAAGTTTTTCATCTTGACGGGGACTTGTGAGTGGACCGTTCACATTGCAGTTTGACTACCGGTAAGTGGAAACCTAGAGCCGAGCCGTGTACGATTGTTGCTAAGTTACACGGAGGGAGAAGCTGTGGATAATCTGAGGAGAGCGTGTAACAGAAGAGGGAAACTCCATCGCCATATTCCCAGACTACACGGCCAGCATCGTCAAAGCCAGAGCTCCTTTTTGGAGGTTAGAAAGCTGCGTCTCAACAGACGGGGTCTGCTTCGACATCTTTTTCCCCGCCAGACTCCGCATCACCCACAACGACACGGAAAAGGAGTTTGTGGAAACAGAGCAGCCGTGCTCAATATATCAATCAGTCGTTCTCAAAGGAATTACGGGTAGATGGCATGACATTAAAAAGACAGATGAGCGCCTATCATCCATCTATGAAATGTGTCACTTGATTGACGGGGCTCAGCTGCATCCGTTGTGCACGCAGCATGTGCATGACACTTGGACTGTTGAACACACCAACGTCTCTTTGAGCCTGGGTTTTATTAGTTTTGCTCCTACAAGCTGAAAAAGGGTGAGCAGCACAAAAACACTCTGCTCGCTGCCATTTATTATAACTGTTGTTAGTGCAGACAAACTTTGTACTGCAGCCGCCTGCAGGGTTGCCAGATAAATTTAAAAAGATTTATTTAACCCTTCTATTCTGTGCACATGTTCAACAAACACAACACACCTCGTCGTAGAATATCTTTACTCGGCACATCTGACAATTTAGGTCAACACTATCATTTTAAAGCGACAATACTATAGTTCATCATTTATTATCTGGCAACCCGACTGACATGGACACCAGCGTTTTTTGTAAACCTGCACTTTTTCTTTATTACCCCCAATAAACAGTGAAAAAACACTAACGTTTCAGAGGTTGTTCTTGCGTAAATGGGGCTTTACGATATGTAAATCACTTTGACTTGGTCATTTTAAAAGCAGCTCACATGATGGAACAAGGGCTCAAATGTTGTAGCTGCACTCAATCCGTGAGGGCACAGATTGACATCGGAGATGGATGAAGGCAACAGAAGAAATTATATTAAAAAACGAAACAAGAGCTACATTATAAGGCGATGTAAAATACTAAAAGCGATGTATAATAATCAGTTTATACATGACACACTGAAACCCTCAGTATACTCCCGCATACGTCCGTGCACGTACGTACGCGGAGGTACGCACAAGCTCATGTTTTTACGATGGCGTACGCGGTGGCGCACAATAAACTGCCCAGCGACAGACTGTTTTGTTGCAACACCAATGTATTCCTCTTCTTCATCCCTGATCTGGCCTTTTCTTTTGTTTTCTTGCCAAGAGGCAGCGATCTCTTCCTCCTCCGTTGATGCCAATGGTGAGAAATGGAGGAATTTGTCACGAGCGAATTAAACTCTGGTCCAGCGTGGCTGCGGGAGGGTCTGGAGATTTCCTGTTGAGCTGGTCTGATGTGTGGGCTGCAGGGCCAGCGCTCCCTGTTGAGCTGGTCTGATGTGTGGGCTGCAGGGCCAGCGCTCCCTGTTGAGCTGGTCTGATGTGTGGGCTGCAGGGCCAGCGCTCCCTGTTGAGCTGGTCTTATGTGTGGGCTGCAGGGCCAGCGCTCCCTGTTGAGCTGGTCTGATGTGTGGGCTGCAGGGCCAGCACTCCCTGTTGAGCTGGTCTGATGTGTGGGCTGCAGGGCCAGCGCTCCCTGTTTTTTCTTTTTCAAATCTTTTTATTAACAACATATAAACACAGAACACCGCTGCAGCGGAGGCTGCCAGCTCTCGTTTTTTTTCTTCTTTTTTTCCGAACTGTCAATCAATCCAGTAGGCGTGTCAGCAAATGACCAATCGGCGACCTCAATTTGTCCCGAAGGTAAACGCCCCTTGGCTGTGGAGCTGCTCTGCAGCTGCTCAGGGTGGACGCTCGAGTACGAAGTCTCAACCCTCCGACGTACGTGCGGACAGACGTGCGCGGGAGTATACTGGGGGCTTTAAAGCGAGAGAAGTCGGGCTCCGAGCTGCGTGCTGCTCTTGAGATGTTTATAGTTTGTTCACTATGAATCATTTCTGTTTGAGGCTTCAGTCGAGTTGGTTTTGCGAACGCAGAGAATCGTCCTCGGCGTGTATGATGCATCTCTGAAGGTTGAAGGTTCTTCTTTGTGTCCACAGGTCATACAACATCAACAAGCTGGCTGAGCAGGCTGTGGAGGAGGTTCTGAGGATCGGTGCGTACATGTTCACCCTCTGATTAACGTTCACAAGCCGCTTCTGGTCCCTTTATGAAGTCCTGCTCTGGTTTCAGGTCAGTCTCAGGCCGGAGTGGACTTCCCTCTGAACCCGGAGTTTGTTGCAAGCGGTGAGTTTAGTATCCAGCTGCAGCTGATGCTCAGGTCGAGTTCTTGTCCTGACCCGGTTCTGTCCTGTCTGCTGTCAGTGACGGACCTTTACAACGAGTCTCTGGTGTTTAGTCCGGACGACCCGCGCTTGTTCTACAGTGTCAGAGAACCGATCGCCAACAGAGTGTTTTCCAGCAACCGTCAGAGAGGCTTCGCCAGCAGGTCAGCTAAACATGAGCCGAAATGCTTCCTGTAGCAAAACACAGCAGAGCAGTAACTAAAAGCTAAAGTTAGCACATCAGTAGTTACAACACTTTTTGCCCAGCTTAAAGAACTTTAAAACTTTTAGCTTCTTTCAGGATGTTTGATGCATTCATTTCTTCAAATAAAGCAGCTAAACCTGTCCGGTACCTGAAGGGTTCAAACCACTGAAGTCTAAGAAGCTAAAACCAGAAAGAAGCTCTGATTTTTGAGAGTCAGCACTGAGCCATAGCAGAACCTTCACTTGTGCTGGGATGAGTTCTCGGACCCAGCTGTGGTTCTGTTGGACCCGGTTTGACGCCTTGTATGTCCTCAGGGTGTGTGTCCGCTCTCGCTGCTGGGACGCCTGCATGGTGGTGGACGGAGGGACGTCCTTCGAGTTCAACGACGGCGCCATCGCCACCATCAGCACGCTCAAGGAGGACCGGCTGAGAACCGTTCTCCTGGAAAACTGATTCCAGTCCAGTGACCTGGACTGGTCCTGAAGAGCCCAGTTTGAGGGAAGTACCGGGTTTTACTGGTGAAAGTTCTTCGTGTTCCAGTCAGTGGTTCTTCTGGTTCTGACCCAGTTCGACTCGGCTTGATGGTCTTCAGGAACAAAAGGAACCAGCAGCTCGACCTTTGACCTGGCCCAGATTCGGTTCTTTCTCCTTGTCCTGCTCTCGTCTTTATTTGAAGTTTAAAACTCAATCTGTGAAGTTAAAATCAGAACCTTTCAGTTTTAGAGATTCAAATGATCAAATAAATAATTTAATTAAAACTAACGTTTACTCAGCTGCAGTGCTGTGCAGAAGTCTTCAGCGTCTCCTTTGCTTTGAACTTTTGTTTTATTTAAGGACATCCAGACTCTGGTCCTTTGCTGGATTTTTTGTCAAGTTTAGACCTGAGATGACCCGGATCAGGACAAAGGACCGAAACCAGGACTAAAATCAGCCCACGGTCTGCAGAAAGTCTGGAGGACTGATGATCCGGACCCCTTTAAAGGACTACAGGAAGATCTGGATCATTGGACGAACAATAAGAAAAGCTGAGGATCGGACCGGACCAGGACCTGCAGAACTTTTGATGAACGTGAAAATAAAAGAAAGAGTTTAGTAGAAACACAGTTTGACCAAGTGAGAAAATAAAAATGTTTTTTTTGAAGACAAATGAACGTGTTCAGGTTAAAACAGACGGGACTGACTCTGGACTCGTGGGAGCCCCTGCACATGGTTTTAAAGACAACAGTAGATCAGTCTGCAGATTCAGTTCTTTGGACTGAGGTCCAGCTGATCAAGACCACCACAGATCAATCTGTTCTGATGTTTTTAGTTGTCGTTAATGATCCGGATGATCCGAGGGTTCCTCTTCTTGATTTTCAGGTCAAGAGGTTGAATTTTCTGATCTGAAATTAAAAATGAGCTCCAGGTTTTGTTTCATTCAACGAGGACGTCTCGTGTCTCTGAGCTGCGGGACGTCTCGTGTCTCTGAGCTGCGGGACGTCTCGTGTCTCTGAGCTGCGGGACGTCTC